ATCTTTATGTTGATTATGGCATTAGACGAATATATGGTAGGTTAAACGAACACTTCTTTTTAGATTGGTTGGATTTTGAAATTTATTGTTGTTGAATTGAAGTGTGATTTAGGGTTTTGGGATTTTGAACTTTTGGATATTTTTGAAATAGAATGTTGGGTTTTAAATCAAATAATCGATTGGGATGTGAAATGGTTAAAATCGAGTTAAATGGGTCAATATGAATCATAAAATCATTCAAGATAGTCATATGAGTTACAGTATCATATGAGTCGATGTATAGATGCATGTTCGTCTTTCTCGCAATCTTCAAATACATGGTAGATTAATTAAACTTCGATTTCTTTCAGATTTGTTTGATTTTGAGATTTCTTCCTGTTGAATTGAAGGTGGCTTCGAGATTTGACCGATGGAGTATTAAAGTTTTGGATTTTTTTGAAAATTTAGAGATTTTGAAATAGAATGTTAGGTTTGAGGTTTTATGGTTAAAATTGAGTGAAATTGGTGAGTTTCGATCACAAGATCATTTAGGACAGTCATATATATCACAAAACTGTATGTGTTGATGTTTGGATGTATGGATGGCATGAGGATTCGAAGGACATGGTCACACGATCACGCGGTCACATGGTCACATGGTCACACGATCACACGGTCACATGATCACACGGTCACATAATCACATGGTTACACGGTCACACGGTCACATGGTCATATGATCACATGATCACATGATCACATGGTCACACAGTAATATCTGGATAATATTGCTGACATGTGTTATGTCATCTCGTTCCGAAGGCGTCTCTCTTGGATGGATCAGAAGATTTCTCTGGCGGAGATGTTCTTGACATTCAGTATGTGGAGGGACTACCGCAAAATGATAACGATTGTGAATACAATGTTTTTGCAATCAACTATGTTGAAACGATTTATAAAGGTAAAGAACAGACGTTGTGCCCTAACTATGATCGAACTGTAATTTTTATATTCGACCTCTAATTAAGGTGTTTAGGTGTCTTAGAAAAAAATGGGATTTAGGTGTTTTGATCCTAAAGAACAAAAATGGGAAAAAATGGGATTTAGATGGGACCAATCGAACACAAATCTCTGTCTCTTTTCCGACAAGTTCTTCGTGTGAGCCCCATAATATATTTCAATCACAACTAATAGATCACAATGGGTCACAACTACTATGGGAGGGTTCAGAGGTTTCATAAGAAGAAAGTATGAACTTTTATTTTACCAAGTGTTTTGTTAATTTGTTTTAACCCTAATTATGATCTTTTTTTGTTTGTTTGATAGTATGAACTTTTATTTTTGGTTTTTATTTATTAAAAATCTACATTTATTTATGTTTTAGGGAAAAATCTGGGTTGAAATTGTTTTAGGAAAAAATTTGGGTTTAAAATGTTGGAGAAAAAATATAGGGTTGAATTCAAAGTGGAGAAAAAAAAAGGCATCACAAAAAATTTTGTATTTTTTAGATGATTTTATGAGAAAATAGACCTATCAAAATATATTAATTTTATTCATAAAAAATTGAACTTTTTAATGTTTTACAAAAAATTTTGGGTTAAAAATATTGAAGGTGAAAATTTGGGGTTAAAAATTAGGAAATAAACAATATAGGGTTAAGAAAAAAAATATGTAGGGTTGAATATTCAAATTAGACCCCACATTAAAAGTAAAAATAGAAACAATAATTATGGGCCCCACAAAACATAAAAATCTGGTGAAATTCTTACTAGTTCTTCGTGTGGACCCCACAATATATTTCGGTCACAATGGGTCACAGTCGGTCACAACCGGTCACAACCTTCGATCCATGCTATTTTTGTTAATTTAATCACTCTACAATACTACACATCTCTCATAAACTCATTTTATATTGTTTCGAACATTAAAATATGGTTTTTATAATTTTTATGTTTCAAAGTTATTCTTCCAAATGTGTTCTTATATGTTTCATAATGTTTTATGAGTACTTTTGATAAATTTGGTATTTTTCATCTATAAACCCTTTAAAATATTTTGAAAATTTTTCACACACATTATATATTTGATATATAGGCTCTAATAAATCATCCCAAAGCTTAAAATTTAAAATTTGGTCTATATTTATTAACATATTTCGGTCACGGGTCACAATCGGTCACAATGGTCACACAGTGCAAAATTACACTTCGGTCACATGGTCACATGCCGGTCACAACAGGTCACAACGTTGACTCATGTGAGTTTGTTTATTTAGTGTGTAACACGAGTTAAATACATGCGAAAATCTATCTTCAATAATATAATATTATTATGGTACAAACACAATATTATATAAAAGTTTATAACACTATATTGTTCAAATACATTACAACATAATTAACAAAAAAATATTTGATATTATTGTACAAATGTTTTGTAACACATTATAATACAAATACACCACGTAATTATTATAAAAATTTGTGGTGCTCTTTTCTTCACTGAACCAAATTATATGTTTATGTTATTTTGAACCCTTTTTAAGAGTACTTTTGTTTGTTTGTCATTATCTTTTTTATGTATTTAGAAAAAAAATCTGAATTTCTTAATGTTTTTTTACAGAAAATTATAGGTTTAAAATGCTATAGGTGAAAACTTGGGGTTAAAATTTGTGAAGAAAAAAAATTTGGGGTTCAAATTTGGAAGGGAGAAAATTTGGGTTAAAATTTGGATGAGAAAAAATGTGGGGTTTAAATTCAATTTGAAAAATTTTAGGAGGGAAAAAACTTGGGGTTAAAATTTTAAAGGAAAAAAAATATAAGGTTAAAGAGGGGGTTGAATATTCAAACTGGGCCCCACGAAACACAAAATCTGGAAAATTTCTGACTAGTTCTTCGTGTGGGCTCCACGACACATTTTGATCACAGTGGATCACAATCAGTCACAACCGGTCACAACCTTCGATCCATGCGATTTTTGTCAATTTAATCGACCTACAACGTCACATATCTCTTATAAGCCTATTTTATATTGTTTTGAACATTAAAATATGGTTTTGCGATTTTTTGGTTTCAAAGTTGCTATTTCAAATGTGTTCCTATATATTTCATAATGTTTTATGAGTATTTTTGACAAATTTGGTATATTTCTTCCACAATCCCCTTAAAATATTTTGAAATTCTCTCATACACAATATATATTTGATATATAGATTCTAATAAATCACCCCAAAGCTTTAAAATTAAATTTTGACCTATATTTATCAACATATTTCGGTCACGGATCACAGTCGGTCACAATGGTCACATAGTGTAAAATTGCATTTCGGTCACATGGTCACATGCCGGTCACAATGGGTCACAACGTTAGCTCATGTGAATCAATTTATTTAGTGTGTAATACGAATCAAATATATGCAAAATTTCATCTTCAATAATACAACCTTGGTATGGTACAAACACAATATTATTTAAAGGTTTTAACACAATACGAATCAAATATATACAAAATTTCATCTCAATAATACAACCTTCATAATAATCAGAATTGTCATAACATACTATGGTACATATATATGACTATAACATATTACAAATGCTAAAACAACGAAAATATAAAAAATTAGAAGAAAAAAATAACAAGATCCACAAATATACATGAAAAAACCGATATTTTGATAGTAGCTTGTATGTTTCTAATTGTCTCATTGATTTACCCTTAATTTTGTCCAATTTCGTCGGATTTTAAAGATAAAATAGAAAAAAAAAAGAGAGAAAACACAGAAGAGAGAGAAAGCTTGGTGGAGATTAATGGTGGGAGGAGAGAGAAATCGAAAAAAAAAGAGGAAAGAGAAATCGAAAAAAGAAGAGAGAGAAAATAAAGTTTTTCTAGGAGAGATTTTTTTAATTAAAAATTAAATATAAAATAATATTATAAGGTTATTTTGGTAATCTAACAAAAAAGAAGATAGATTGGATGTTGGAATTTTTTTTTTAAGAGAAGGGTAGGAGTAGAAGTGTTTGTAGCACATTGAGGATATTTTAGAAGTTGACCCTTTTGAAACCTACCTGATTGATCCAGCAAACAAGTAAAATCACGAAAATACCCTCGCGATTTACACGCACGCGTCTATCTCAACTCGCACATCGTGTATACATAATACACGCGCTTTAACCAAAACCGGTTTTGTTTTCAGTTGCAAACCGGATTAGAATCTGATTCGACAAACCCAAAATTCCCAATGACCTTTACAACTATTGTGATATTTCAAAGTGTATATATAGAGATATATATACGCACGCACACACTTTGATTCCTCCTACGAATCGAAGTGGCTGTTTTTTTTTAATGGGGGAAGAATGTCAGAAAGTTTTGTAGGGAATTATTGAAACACAAAAATTTAAAGAAAAAAAAAGAAATTGGAGATGCGGGGGATCGAACCCCGTGCCTCTCGCATGCAAAGCGAGCGCTCTACCATTTGAGCTACATCCCCATATTAGTCATTAAAGATAATTTTAGAATTCTTGGTGAAAGCGTCTGCTCACAATTTTTTTTTGATAATGGAGACTAGGTAAAACTCCGACTCCGGAGCAGCCTTTGTATATGAATTATATAAACCTAGAAATTACCTCATTTCCCACCCGTAAGGAATCGAACACTCAACCTCAAAGTGGAATTATCTCCTACCAAAGCTTAGGTGTTGCCGGTGTGTCATTTTCCAACTTAATACTTCTCCTCTTTGGTGTTTAGATATATTATTCACTCTACATCCTCGATTCAACCTAAATCAAAATATGATATTACTCTTTTTTTTGTGTTTACTAAAATTGTTTTATTCTCTGTTCCATTTCGATACCCTGTTTTATGGCAATGGTCTCACTATCATGCACCATGGCAATATCTCTCTGTAAACATGCACCAAAAAGTCACGTGCTTTTATCTAATTTTGTGTCTCAATTTCTGATTGGAAATTAAGACAGCTGCGTGGTAAACACCGGCAGCCTTTACTTGTAAAGTTTATTTAAAATCTTACTATCCTCCTCCAGACTTCTTCTTCTTCATCTCTCTCTCTCTCTTTCTCTCTGTGCGTTTGACTTTAATGTCAAAATTTCTCTGAGCTTCTCCAAGAGCGAGACTCTGAAGGCTCAGGGATCATAATCATCATGAGAGTGCTTCTGGGTCTCTTTCTTCTCTTGGCCTTGGCTAGCTCTTCAAGTAAGCTTCTGTGGTCCATCATTTTCCCTTTTGTTTTCTCAAATCAAATTCCATACTAAAGGAAGAATTTTTTCATCTGGGTGTCTACCAATCATGATTCTCTGAAATGGGTTTCTCAAAAGAACCCTTTTTATCCTTCATATTCACTGTTCTTGCTCCTAAAGATTTGAGTTTTCATCTAAAACCATTTGTTATCTCTCTCTTTCTCCTGCTCTGGCTGGTTTGGTTCAGATGCATCATACTGTTTGTGTAGAGATGGGATCGTAGAGAAGCAGCTTCAGACAACCTTGGACTATGCATGTGGAGCTGGAGCAGATTGTACACCCATCCTTCAAAACGGTGCATGTTACCAACCCAACACCGTGAAGAGCCACTGCGACTGGGCCGCCAACAGCTATTTCCAGAGAGCCGGTCAAATCCCTGGGAGCTGCAATTTCTCAAACACTGCTACTCTCAGCGCCAATCCTCCTTCAAGTAAGTCACACACTAAATCCCCAATTTCTTGGTGGGTTGACTGGTAGATCCTTAGAAAGATTCAGACTTTGGAGGTTAATCTTGTTGGTTATGATGGGAAAAGCTTTGATCTTTGTTCACCTCCTGTGCAATATTGCAGCTGTGGTTACTGGGTGCATCTACCCTTCAAGCACCAGGTACGATTTCTTCTGCATGCTTTTGTCCGAACCTTACCAGGGAATTATCTGAAGGGTTCTTCTCATCATGCCTACTTTAGGTTTTTTCCTATTGTTATGATGAAAATGTGGCTAAGAGAGATAAACCTAAACCAGTAAATCGTCAGCATTGCTTTTCTTGATTCCTTCACACGTCAAGAGGACTCTCCACCATCCCTCCTAACAGCTGTTTGAGCTGTAATGACGCAAACCTCCATTTTGTCTCTTTGTGTTTTCTTTATTTCCAAGACTTCAATCCCATGAAGTCTCCCCACCAAACATCTAACCTCAAAAGTGAACCATTTCTTTCCAGTTCGGTACTCCTATCTCAAACCATAGTTTACATCAAGTCAGACCAACTTCTTACGCACTGTTGGTTAATCAGTCACATTCCAGACTCAGAATTCTAACCCTACTGCACATTTTCATCAAAAATTTGCATAATGACGGTGAATCATACTAACCAATCTAATTGTACAATCATTTTGTAACAGCGGTACAGGATTCCCGACAACAACTCCGGCAACTGGAAGTCCAGGAATAAATGTGTCTCCTGGAGCTCCTGCGTTTGGTCCGACCGGAGTCACTGACCAAGGCAATGGCACTACTAGTTTGTTCATCTCATATGCTCTCACTACCACCCTCTGGTTCTTAGCTCTAGTGTTTCTATGGGGTCAATGAAGGAAACAGTGAGTTAGTTCTGATGTATGTCTGAGATCTTGTCACGTGTGAATGAAAGTTCTGGGGACAGACGTCCACGTGTGGATCTGCAAGGGCTGTATTATGATCAATGATGCTATGAAAAAGAGAGGAAAAAAACCTGGGAAGTGGTTTAATTAAGACATGTGAGCAACCTAACTCACTGGCTGGAACCTGGAAGACTTTCTTGTTTTAGTGTGTGATCAATGGTGGCAGTAATAAGATATAATTGACCCACATGGCAGAAAAATGAATCCTATTTATGTGATGCAAGGCTTGATGATCTTTGATTGAATGGATGATAAAATGGAAAACTGCAGAAGTTTGGTGGGTCCTTTTTTTTTTCTTGAGAACCAGGTTTTTTCAAAGTGGGTTCTGCCACACAGGAAACTTTCCTATACATTTGGCAAAATGGCAAATGAATCAATGGAAAGCAACACTGAATCCATGAATGGAAAATTACCCTGAAATTTACTCAAAGAGATGGCTCTCGGATTGCATATTGCACATGCCCTAAGCTAAGCATTCTAGTTTTTGGCACCTAATGTTCCAAGGTTCTTCTGATGCAGATAGTATTTTCCTATTACAAATTGATGTAGATACTCTCCTTAATCCAAACCGATGAAAGTTATGATCTTTTATTGTCACATGAGAAATTTTACAGTGGGAAAACTTTTTTGTACCTGAAGTATAGGACGAAGGAGAAGTACAAGAATCCACATCCAATACCTGTTACCACTAGAACCCACTGAAACGTGGATGGATTGTCGAAAACAGAATCTTCCATGTTCATCCCAAAGACAGCAGTGACAGCAGCAAATATGGCGGCCACAAAGGTGGCTGCGGTGAGAAGCAACTGGAACTGGATCAGCTGGTTCTGTACATTACCCTGTTTCAAGACCAAGAACAAGTGAAGACCCTTAACATGGAATTCAGTTTTCTAAAAGAAACAAGGAGGCAAAAAAGATGAGATTGCCCGATTTTAATGCATACCAGTTTAATGTTAATCAGATCCTCTGTGTCATCTATGTACTCCTTGAGCTGCAACACCAGAAGAAACCAGCAGAAGAAAGATTAATCCTCCTCATGTCCAAAATCATGAATTATTCTACCAACTACCACATAAAAAGTCTATGCCATGCCTGTAGTACTGGACATACCGAGGATAACTTGCTCAGAGTATTATCAACTACAACAAAGTAGGCTTCAAGTAGCATCTCGAGTTGATCAATATTCTCTCCAGCGTTTGAGGAGCTCAACAGGCTTCTGTGTGACCCAATGACACTGCTAAAAGCCCTTTGCAACTTATGGGTTCCACTGCTTGAGCCGACGGGTGAAACAGGTGCAGATTTCGAAACTATTTCTGAAGCATCAAAATCCTCGTGTTGGTTATATAGCTCGCCTGTATCAAGAGCCTCCGATCTTTGTTTTTTCTCCGTCAAGTACATCTCAGCCATGTCATCGTCATCATCCATTAGATGTTCTATCTCATCACAAACCTGGTTCGGGGCAAAAAAAAAGGGTAAAACATCTAGCAAAATGGCGAAAGTCAAACATCAAGTTCTAGCCTTCCCAGTTTTACAGGGACTTTTGTAGTTACCTTCTGAACTTTCTGTGTCAATGCAAGAAGCCGACCTTTTAGTCTACGTACATGTTCCAGATTAAGGGTACTGATGTTTGACGTTAGATCATCAAGTACGGGATAGACTTCCATTTCAAGCTCCTTTACCTATAAAAACCAAGCATTTTAGTGCACCAACTTCAGAGGTTCACAAACTAACTGAAGTGCAAGAACGTGTTCCATCCACGATTGAAAAAGTTCGATTTATAGTTATACAACCATCATGTAAGTTCATCGAGAAGAATGATGAAATCTAACGCAGATCGCAGAAGATAGGGAATCGCTGCATACCTGTGCATCCAAAGACAAACAAGACAATTCCAAAGCTAACTCCAATGCTTTGAACTCAAATGGTAGATCATCTGAAACACCCCCATTAACAGTTTCATGAAATGACATCATAGTCTCAGACCACCAACCTAAGTTATAAAAGTTAGTTACCTTTAGCAGTTTGGCTTTGGTTTGATTGGAGGCGTTTACACAATTCAGACTGGTACTGAACGATAGATGCATCTCGAGCATTCATGAGGATAACCTCATCGGCTTTGATGATACACCGGATCTTCTCGAGGCTAACAACTATAGCTTTCTCCCGACCCAAAATAGTAGAGGGATAAATAAACAAAGGGTCGAGAAGTCTCAAATCCCGGGATGGTAAGGAACAATGCTTCATTATAGTTCCCTTGTCAAGCTCCACAACCATGGAGTTCCCATTTTGATCAATCTTCACCCAAGAACGACTAGACTGTCCTCTCTTCTTCAGACCGAGAAGACCATTCCCACGGTTACTTATACCTTCAGAATTGAGTGGCCTTCCATTCTTCTGAAAGGATACGAAGTCGAGAAGATGAGGAGGAGGAGAGAATCGACCACGTTCTTCTCCCATGGAGCTTTAGGCCCGTCTTGCTTATGGAAAAGGATGGAACACCATCAACTCGCTGATGAACAACCAAACAGTGAAGCAATCAGGGAAGCTTTGAAAGTATACTCCAACCTGAAAATGAAAAAAATTTGGACATGAAATTGAATTGAGCATCGATTGCCTCACTTTCAGAAAGGTTGTACCAAATTCGACTAGCATCAACCGATCGAAAAGAAACTCTCAGACGGGTTTTTTGGGCATTATAGTGAAACTTTTCGATCAGAGAACATTGCCCGATTGCGAACCACCTCGGAGAATCCTGAATCATTTCCGTGATAAGACGAACAACAACATCTAAAGAACTCCAGGAGAGAAAACGCGAAAAATGTGGATAATTTACCTAAAAGCAGTCTAAAATCACTGGGTTTTCTCAAGCGAAGATCATATCATAAGATAAATTGGACCCATCAGACTATCCGAATCAAATCATAAGATGGAAAAAACCAATTATTGATACTCAATTAGGTGAAAAAAACGAAACCTAAACAAACACCCGTACGAATGCAAGGAACCCAAAACCTGCGAACACCAATGATGAATCGCAGAAAAATGAATAGCCCTAAATTGGAAAACCCAAATCGGAAACCTTACCTTTCGATTCAAGCTTTCAGGTCTCGCTCAATCGCAGATCAATTCAAAAACTCGAGTCTTCAGCTGATTCAGCACGTTCCGTACAGTACGCATCATTTTTCACGAAACCGAAAAACTAGAGTGACACGTGGTTTATTTTTATTGGAACTAACAGTATATCTGCAATGAGACATGAAACAGGAGATCATTACTGTACGGACAAACAAAGAGGTTGAGGCGAAATGGCGCGAAATGAAGCTTCGGTGTTAGTTAAAGAGGTAAAAGGTCCGAACTTTGCGAGAAGCCTTCCGAAATCGTACCATTGCCACGGCAGAGACCCGATCCCCAAAACTACGAAACCCTAGATTCCCTTTTTCTCTCTGAAAATTTTCCTTCGTTCTCTCTAACAGACGAAATCTTACAGCTTCAAGTGGGTGATTCTTAAATCCCAACATCACTCAGGTTATCCAACTAATCTCGCTCTCTGGGTTCGTTTGATCAAATCGTTTTTTTCCCATTTTCGTTTCGCTTCCTCCAATACCCGTTTATGTTGTCTTGATCGATTTCTTTTCCAGTTTTCACCCACTTTTTGTTATTTGTTCCATACCCTTTTCCTTGAATGTTAGGTTTCGGATGTAAAGTTCGTTGATTTATGACATTCGCGTTTCGGGTATTTGGTGAAAATATAACCTAAACATGTAACCAAAATCGATTTTTTTTTTGGGTAGTAGAAGCTGTTTTTAGTTTTTGTTTCATTGAATGATAAATCGTTCGTTGTTGTTGCCATTGGATATCAGATTTGGGGTTCTGTTGGCTTTGTTTTGCACAAGAACCTGGTTTTGCGTCTGTTGTGTAAGAAGAATTGATGATTCTTTTGATGGCGTCAGTTATGGACAGAGAGAAAGAGAATGGAAGCAAACATAGCTCGGAAGACCAGCCAGTGGCTGAGGACAGGAACGGACAAAGTCAACAATCAAGAACAGAGTCAGGAGTATCTCGACACGATGAGAACGGAAGTATTCACTCAGACCCGCTCTCGAGATCGTCATCATCATCTTCTTCATCTTCGTCTTCGTCTTCTTCATCTTCCACGCCATTAAAGGGTAGTAAAGATTCAAACTCGAGATCAGATGAGCCAGGCATGTCTCGAACGGATTCACCTCCTCCAGTCCAGGTGATGGACAGGAATGTTCCTGAAGGGTATGACCCAAGTCGGATTCCGGCATCGGTTTTCGAGAGGAACAAGTCTAAGATACCAGCAGAATGGAGCTGCACTTCAAACGAATCTTTGTTCAGCATTCACTTAGGAAACAACAGTGATCTCATGAAATCAGGCGAGCTTTTCAAATCAGGCGAGTTCGTTTCCTACAGTCCAGCATTTCCCCTGCCTCCTCCGACAAAGATTGGACCAGACGAGAAGACCCTTAATCTAGCCAAGAAAGAAGTGGAAATGCCTAAAGAGATTGAGAAAGAAAGCATCAAGAGAGAAGTAGAAATGCCTAAAGAGAGAGAGAAAGGAAACAAAGAGAAAACGGTGGATCATCCTGCGGTTTCTTGGAGATCTCCTACAACCTCATATTGTTCCAACGTGAGCTCAAACAGCGCGCACTCCTTCTCCTTCCCAATGTAAGTTCATTCCATTCATCTCCAGTTTCACCATAACCAATCACATTACAGCAAAAAAAAAACCATGGGTAGGTCTAACTGCGAGTAGTGTTTGATTCCTCTGTTGAAATCTCTGTAACAGTTTGTGTTTAGACATTACTATTTGCAAACCAAGTATTTGGGCAAGACCTCATTTCTCATGTCGGTTTTTGGCAGTTTGGCGGCAGGAGCTGCCAGTGAGTCTGCAGAGGCAGAAGCTGAAGATTTGAAGAAACAGAAAGTGCAGGAACCGATGGAGACAACCTCAAACCTCTCTAGAAATAGATGGTTGAGTTGTTTTCCACCTTGCCCTTGGTGTGCTTCTTCTTGCTCTTGTTGTTCTTGAAGTATGATGATGTCTTCCTTCCCCGTTTCAGTAATCCCCTTTTTTAGATCTTTGCACACTGCGGAGGAGATTGATGTCTTCAACAGGAAAAACCTGTAACTTAATCCCTGTGTGAAGAGAGAGAGGTTTTAGACTTAAAACAGAGATGTTACCATAGGATCTTCGTTATTGATCTCCTGTGTGTTTAACGAAGTGTAATCTCCCAACCATGTAAAAGCTCGAAGCATTGACTTCACAAAGCTAAGTGTTGTAAAAGAAATCAATTGATTTAGGCTTCCTTCTGAACATTTTTCTCTTCTGGTTAGGATTTAATTGTAATGACAAGTTTCAGGTCACAGAGAAGATAAACCTGAGGCAAAGCAGACGACTCAAGAAACAGGAGATGAAGAAGAACAGAGGCTATCTATGGTTATCCAACAATCAAGAAAACGTGGAAGTGTTTACGATTATATGCCGAAGAGGATGATCTACGTCTCCTCCACCTGCGTGCTTTACAAACACGGTAGGAGAAAGGAAAGTGCCATGGCATATGCACATTATCCTCACTCGGCGTTATTACAGATATACCTTTAAAGTGTAACATCAGTTGCAACACATACCTTCGAAAAATTAGGGTTTCTAAAAAAAAATTGGAAAACATTGAAAAGACCATCTTAGCCTTAAAAAAAGTACACGTGTAAAAATCTGAATAAAGATTGCGAAAAAAAAAGAGTGGGGAGTTGGAGTCCGAAATCAAAAATTGTTTTAGGAAAAAAAAAACTTCTCAGTTTCTTCGTTCTTCCTTCTTCGCGATTTCTCTCTAACGGGCATTCTGCAAGCGATTTCTTGTGCGATTTGTTCTCTTCACTTCGAAATGGCTTCGTCTTCATCGTTTTCGGCATCTATCTGCGAAAATCTTCAGGGAAGGTTTCCATTATAACTCACCGAGAAAGTGAGGTTTTTTTTAATTTCATATGTGTACATTTGGGTAAATATTAAAGGTAGACAAAATCGTAGTCAAATGGGTCATAGTATTCGAGTTTTACAGATAAGAAAATTTAGGGTTTTGGTTTGAAATTAGAGTCATATGAGAGTTTTGTCTCGGTGGGGAGTTGGAGTCCGAAATCAAAAATTGTTTTAAGTAAAAAAAAAACTTCTCAGTTTCTTCGTTCTTCCTTCTTCGCGATTTCTCTCTAACGGGCATTCTGCAAGCGATTTCTTGTGCGATTTGTTCTCTTCACTTCGAAATGGCTTCGTCTTCATCGTTTTCGGCATCTATCTGCGAAAATCTTCAGGGAAGGTTTCCATTATAACTCACCGAGAAAGTGAGGTTTTTTTTAATTTCATATGTGTACATTTGGGTAAATATTAAAGGTAGACAAAATCGTAGTCAAATGGGTCATAGTATTCGAGTTTTACAGATAAGAAAATTTAGGGTTTTGGTTTGAAATCAGAGTCATATGAGAGTTTTGTCTCGGTCACTATCGTAGAGGTCATACTCGTCACACTCTTCGTACTTGAAGGGTGAGACGAGTTTGACTAGTCCGATTAAACTGGGTACACCCGTCAGTGAAATACCGTTGAAGTCGTCACACCGTCTCACTGGTCACTACTATAGTGGTCATACTCGTCACACTGGTCGCACTTGAAGTGTATGATGAGTTTGACTAATCTGATCAAACTTGTCATACCAGTGAGACGATGTGAAGTGGTCATACTAGTCACACTGGTCGCATTTGAACGGTGTGACCAGTTTGACGAGTTTGACTTGTCTGGTAAAACTGGTCAAACTGATCAAACCAGTCAAACCAAACTGATAATCTTCATGTTAATTTTGTTTTGCAGGTTCCTTTTGTATACGATTTGAAAGACATTCATCAGGCTCCCAAGATAACAACGAAGTGTTATCCATATCAAACAATTCGGTCTCTAAAAAAGGCATTAACAGACGATGAATTCAGATACTTCAATGACGAGTCACAGTTTCGTCATATTTTTCATCTGCAATGCGAAGAAACATTGAAGATGGTTCCAATGTCTGTCCTCTTACACCGTGCATTGAAGTTGGAAAGAGTGGTA